CCGGGCCGGCAGCTCGCCGCAGCCTTCGCGCTGGGGTCGCAGGGGGTCGCAGTGTATCACCATCCACTGGATTTCGAACTGGCAAAGGAGATAAAGATCACGTTAATTCCGGTCAGGGGGTCACACTGGCCGAGGGTGTAATGGGAGGAACACAGGTCAGCTAACGGCCTGTTTTAAAAGGTAGGTATTTAATGATAACAAGTGGGTGTATTGGAGATGCCGCGGTTAAGCACTTTTTTTTTCACTGCACAGGGGAAGAAGGGTCTGAGCCGGCCCCTGGAGCTCAGTCCAGAGCAGAGCTCCACACGGCGCTCCCCACCCCTAACTGTGGAGGTCTTTTAAAAAGGGGGCATAAACCTCCCGAGGGATTTAAAGAGAAGGTGAGATTCGTCATGTGTCATTTTTTTCACGTTCTTTATAAACACAGGCATCTTTCCTCATGCTATGTGGGGGTTTTATTTGTCACGCATCAGATTTTCTCTAAGTGCGTAGCTGTGCCCATGAAGAATGTTAGGTCTGAGGACAGAAACGTGATCTAAGTGTGAGAAGTTCAGAAAGCAGGATTATATGCACACTGGCAACAGCCTGCAACTGGGTAATACACATCTGTGAAATTTCACATCTTCTTTGAACATTTGTATTTGACACTGGAAAATGACACAGGATTAAGGCAAACTTCTCAGAAACTGCAACCAAGACTTGCTTGATGTGCTATATAGATTAAAAAACATACCCTCTGCTGAAAGTTACTGCATAGCTCAAACATACAGCTTCAGAGGTATATCCGTTGATATACAATGCATCACGTGGAATTTTAAGTACCAGAAGCATATTACATTGTGTGTAGTTATTGTATCTAGGTTTTAAAGTCTTGGGTTGTTTTCCCTTCCCATCACGCATAGTATCAGCTTGGCTTATGAACCACGAATGAGTGGTTTATCCAGAGATTTCTCAGTATGATGATAAAATCCAGAGGCTCCTATTCCTTTCTTTTCATTATGGATGGCTGAGGAGCTGGGGGGAAAGAAAGTTTTGGGGTTTTTTTTCTAGTTACAACATAGAACCCTGGTATGGAAAAGATTCTGATTTGTTTTTTCTGAGAAGCTGAAAATAGAAGTGAGTGTCTAGGGGGCTTTCACTTCTTATTTCTTTGCTTCTCTTTCTTTTTATTCTAATGAGCTACGGTAGCTCCCCACTATCCCTCCCACAACATAATGTCTCGGTGCTTCCTGGCTGCCTTCTGTGCTCCCTCTGGGATATCTCATTGCTCTCTTCAATCCCAACCTGTAACTGATGCAGAAAGCAGAGTGACATTCTGAGATGCTTTCCTCTCCTGCCACCATCCTTACATTGACTTAGTTGCATACTGACTGCTAGAGCTGATAAATGCTTTGATAAATGCTTTGAGTCTGAAGTCAAGATCTCTGCAAGACACCTACATATCCAAAAGTTGCTTTTTTTTTTTTTTGCTTTCATCTTCACCACTTCAGTGTTGCCACTCCTGAAATCCTCGCTATCACATCTCTACTGTTCTGTTTACTTTGCAGTCATCAGTTTCCAGAGTGCTGAGACTAGAGCACAAAAAAGGCAGTACCCTCGTTTCTTTTACCTGTTATCTGACACCACTATCTGTGAGTCAATTCTCTACCTCTTTACCCAATTCTCATCTTAAAACCTTTCCCAGCCCTTAATAATAGACAACTGCATGTCATAATATACGTATAAAAGAACTGAATGTATACTATAATTTACAAAGCAGAAATACAATAGTAAAAATAAGAGGGTATCTGGAATCTAAAGATGGGGGTTTATAAAAAGGTATAAAAATGGGATCAAATGATACCTGTATGATAATTTCATACCATACATCTAGATTCTGAGTCCTGAGTCTCTACATT